AATGGGCCATTGTTAATGGGAACAGAGGGTCTCTGTACACTATTTAACACTCCCCTTCTCCGGTAAGCTGCTCCCAGCTGAGGGCCGGCTCCTAAATGAGCAATTTTTTTAATCACGAGCCTGGGAGCTCGTCTGATGAGGAGTAGGTCAGGAAAGGGGGCCCTTGCCCTGGGCTGGGAGTGGGGCAGGGGGCTGTGTGCCTACGTGTGGTGTTGGGAGCGGGGACTGCCTGTCCCCTGATCTCAAGGACCCTGTCGTCAGTGGGTGACTTGGCCAGCCTCGGGAGGGAGGGTGCTAGTAAGTAAGTAAGCTGGAAAGAGGCTAGCCTATCAGGACAAGAAGGCTGAGTCAGGTCTCTGAAACCAGGCCTGGCCAATGAAACTCACCCGGAGTCAGCCATCTCTGCCCAGGGCTGGCTAGGTACACTGTGCCCTGCTTCCCCTCACCCCCCTCCCACCCACCAAAAGGGCAAAATTGGAAATGCAAACTGTATAGCATAAATAGGCACCTTTCCTCTACTGCTTTTCTGTCTTTCTTTCTTTCTTTCTTTCTTTCTTTCTTTTAAAAACTCTTTTTCCCCAGGTGATCCAGGGCTCTGGCTTTCCTCTGATTTTGAATTTGAGAGACAGTAAATACAGACAAATCTTTCTTCATAATAATAAAAGCTGCCATTTCTATTTCTATTTCTATGACACTGTACCAAAATGCTTTACAAATGTTTTCTCAATTCATTTTCTCAGCAACTCTGTGAGGAAGGTAGGGCAGACAGAATTATCCTAATTTGACAGATATAGAAACTGAGGTTCCAGAGGTTAAGCGACTTGCCCAAGGTCACACAACTACTGAAAATAGTCTTTATTCAGTCATGTCTAACTCTTTGTGACCCTATTTGGGGAGTTCTTGGCAAAGACAATGGAGTGGTTTGCCATTTCCTTTTCCAGCTCATTTTACAGATGAGGAAACTGAGGCAAACAGGGTTAAGTGACTTGCCCAGGGACACACAGCTAGTAAATGTTTGAGGCCAGATTTGAACTCAGGAAAATGAGTTTTCCTGACTCTAGACCCAGCACCCTATCTACTGTGCCAGCTAGATGCCCCTGCTGCTGGGGAGATTAAGGCTAGTGAGCCACTTGAGATCAGAAGTTCTGAGCTTGTAGGCTGCAGTCAGGGGTGGGCACCAGGCTACCTATGAAGGGGAGAACCAGCCCAGGTCACAGCTTCTATGCTGATCATAAGGGGGAGAGTCAGCTGCACATCCAGCCTGGGCAATATAGGGAGGCCAGGCTCCCCCCAAAAAAGTAAGTGATAGAGCTGGGATTCAAAACTAAACCTTCTGTCTCTTGGAGAGGCCTCACAGGGGTAATGGTGTATTAGCTATGGAACGCTCCCCAAAGAGATACAGAACATATATATTACCATAAAAGAACGCTGATCAACATGAAAATCATCTGCGATTCTTTTTTAGGCAATTGGGGTTAAGTGACTTGCCCAGGGTTACATAGCTAGTAAGTGTCAAGTGTTTGGTCTGAGGTTGGATTTGAACTCAGGTCTTCCTGACTTCAGGACTGGTGCTCTATCCACTGTGCCACCTAGTTGACCCCCAGCCGTGATTCTTGAGAGCTGATCGAGGGGCACGTCCCTCACCTATTGAGAGAGGAGAGGTTCAGGTGCAGAATGAAGCATATATTTTTTGGACATGACCAATGGAGGAATTTATTTATTTGACAATGCATATTTTATATGTTTTTTTCTTTTCTTTTTCTCTTTTTTCCCCCAATAGTAGGGACAAGGGAGAAAAATAGATTTTTGTTAAAAAAATTTTTTTTAATTTTAAAAAATATTCTATTTTTAGATTTTACCGGTGGAAACTCTCCCTTAAACCATCCTCCCTGCCCAGTCAGTCCTGGATCTGCCATTAGCTACATTACTTTTAGAGTTTTCCCATCTGGGGTTTTTAAGGCGTGTTTAAATTTCTAACATTATCTGATTCTCACCTATGAGAGGGCCTTACTTGTATGTGCCTGCAGACAAACAGGCAATGAATCTAAGCTCAGCCCTTTCCATTCTTTGGAGTCATCATTCTGTCTCTCTTCAGGAAACATGCTCCTTGTAAAACCATCTAGGCCCACCCCTTTGTACTGGACACATAGCTCTGAAAATCACTGAGCAGAGGAGACTCCCTGAGACCATTGTATCTGTGCCCAGAGTCCCACTGTGTCCCTTGTACTACTTGGACTTTTTCCAGGGTGAGGGATAGGCTATGACCAGAGCCGCTGGACACTCTGCCTTAGTGAGCTGGCTTCCTTGGAATTTTCTTCAGGGAGGTCATTTTACACTATTAGACCTTGAGGGCTGAAAGGTCAACTAGCTTTTGGCCTCCTGTGGTATTTAACCAGCCCCTGGAACCTTTGAGTTACCGAAAATTCTTAAGGTGCACTGGAGAGGGTAACTTGGAAAGGTGGTTGGGTCAGGGGGGAACTGCTCTCCAAGTGAGAAAACATGTATAAGAATTGATAAATTATAGAAATCACCTGCTTTTGGTCCCTTGCGCCAGACAGACCAAGGTGCCTTTTTTCAGCCTTTAAAGTTGGCTTATGGAGAAGCAACCTGGGATTTGGAGCCAGGGGACCCGGGTTCTGATGTTAGCTGTGTGACCACAGTCAGCTCACTTATTTCTCTGAATCTTCACTTCCTTATGTATGAAAAAGAGGGTTTGGCTCAGATGATCTATCTCTAAGGTCCTTTCCTACTTTTAAATCTCTGATCCCATGATCCTTTCAAACTGGAGCCCGTCACAGACCTAAGCAAGGAGAGCAGGCTGTAGGCACAGGAAACTGTGCTAGCCCTGCACCTGTTCCTGTCCTAGCTACCCTGCCCTCCTGAGTCCTGAATACTCTTGGAGATGGACTTTCCTACTGGGAAACTGGAGAGGGACAACTGCCTCCAGGGACGTCCCTGGGAAAAGAGATAAAGCATTTTAATGTCATCAGATAGGAAGGCACCAGATGTACTCCTATGGCGGGGTGGGGGGGGGGGGAGGAAGGGAGGAGGGACCTTAGACAAGTTCTTCATCTTTTTCCCCCTCAGTTTCCTCATCTCTAAAATGAGGCAGTGGGCAGTGATGGCCCCTTCCATCTCAAATTCTGTGATCCCACATTTCTAAGAGCTCCAGAGTCCTAAATTTCTGTCAGCTTTCAAAATCATCCATGGGGAATCAGGGAGGCCCTGATAATTCCAAATAATAGATAGTAAAATAGTACAGTTTTATTTGGTTTGCCATAATGCTCAGTCCTGCAGATTCCCAATTGTTGTGCCTAGATAAAATGTTAATGAATTTGCATTTCTTGAGCAAATGATGACAGTTGGAAGTGGAGAAGAGGATAGTTCAGAAGCTTTCTGGGTAGCAGGGAGAAGTAAATTCATGATTAAAAACTTTGCTTTGATGGACAAAGCCTCTATACGGGATTAAGTCCATTTAAAAAAAATTGCTTTGCTAAATTGTCCAAGTTCCTCAGTTTTGAACATAACCTAGACATTAACAGACATGTACCTTAATGTGCACATGTTCAGATCAGTACATGCAACCTGATAAACCTTCAGTAGTTAGTGCTAAATGATAAGGATAGAGCAGTAGGACTGAAATCAGGAAAATTCGTCTTCCTGAATTCAAATCTGGCCTTAGACGTTTTCTAGCTGTGTGATACTGGGCAAGTCACTTAACCCTGTTTGCCTCAGTTTCCTCATCTGTAAAATGAACTGGAAAAGGAAATGGCAAACCATTCCAGTATTTCTGCCAAGAAAACCCCCAAAGGGCTCACCAAGAGTCAGATACAATGCTGAACAACAAGGACAGATTTGTTCATGGGCTGACACTAAGGCATTGAACCTCTGAGAAAACCAGCTCACTGTGAGCTCTGCCTCCTCAGCATTCCTGCTGGAGCTCACCATACATGGCCTGGTATGTCCAATTATCTTGTCATGTCAGTTGAAATTGCCAGCTTTAACTAGACTATAAGCTCTTTGAAGACAAGTCGTTGGATTCCTATTTCTTTGTGCCTAATATAAGGCCTTACATAAAGCAAGGACTCAGTAAGCCATTGGATGGGAGTACAGCTTTCAGCTTGGGAAGGAGACCTGGGGACATCTTGTCCAACTTCCTTGTTTTACAGGGGGGAACTGAGGCCCAAAGATGCTAAATAACCTCCACATAGTCACATAATGGTGGAGACAAGTCTCCAACTCAATTGTCACTATCATTGTTTTCATAGGTTTGCAAAAACTTTGTATGTCACAACAACCCTATGCATACATGACTCACTCAGATCCATGGTATTTCTATTGCTGTTGCAACCAGTGATACCATGTTAATAGTGGTGCCACCTTCAGGAAAGATCTGTGATTCTTTAGCCTGGAGCAATCCTTCCACTATTACCAGTCAACAACCCTTCTAGTCATTGCCCTCATCTTACAGATGAGTAAACTGAGGCTAGGAGAGTTTAGGTGCCTTGCCTGTGATTACAGAACAAGCTAGCGTCTGAGATTGGATTCAAACCAGGCCTCCTAAGTCCAGGTCGACAGCTTGGGCTCTCTTTCTGCTAGAGTATGCTTCTTCTCCAGCCCCTCAAAAGATCACTTAACTTTTGTTTTCCTTAATCCACTGCAGAAGGAAATGGCAAACCACTCCAGTATCTTTGCTAAGAAAACCCCATGGACAGTATTACCACGGGGTCAGGAAGAATTAGACACGACTGAACAGTAACAACAACAATAAAAGGATTTTAAAAAGAGCACCATCTCTGTAGACAGAAGACCCAGGTTCAAATCCTATTTCTAACTCTTACTATCTGTATGATCTTGGATAATTCACTTACCTCTCTGTTCATCTGTAAAACAAGGGGGTTGGCCTCAATGGCTTTTGAAATTCCTTCAAGCTCTGAATCTATGATCCTACAATCTCCTTTGATCCTTACAAGAAAGATGATCTTATCCTCATTTTACAGATGAGAAAACTGAGGCACAGAGGCTGAGACTTGCCCAGGGTCACACACACAGTGCTGCATGTGCATGGATGAGGAGGAATTCACCTTGTCTGCTTTCCTGCCCCCTCCCCATCCTTGGTTATTTAGAAGAGGAGGAGGAGGAGGAGGAGGAGGAGGGAAGCTCATCATGGAAGGCAAGCCAAGCCATCAGGAGAATGCTACATAGGAAAGCTCAGGACCCATACAGGCATGTGACTGCATTACCCCTTGTAAGGGTAATAGTGGCAATCTCCCAATGCTTTCCCAGAAAGTGGAGCACTCCATATGGTGCTGAGTTCTAGATTCACTTGGATGTATATGAAAATCGCTTATCCCCACTGAGCCTCAATGTTCTTACCAATAAAATGGCGACAGTGATACTCACATTAGACTGTGAACTCCTTGAGAGCAGGGATTGTTTTTGGCCTTTCTTTGTGTCCCCAGTGCTTGGCATAATCGCTTATCCCCACTGAGCCTCAGTGTTCTTACCAATAAAATGGCGACAGTGATACTCACATTAGACTGTGAACTCCTTGAGAGCAGGGATTGTTTTTTGCCTTTCTTTGTGTCCCCAGTGCTTGGCATAATGCCTGACACACAGTTGAGACTTAATAATGCTTGATGATTTGGCTTCATTGTATTATTTCAAGTATCAAATGAGACAATGTTTGTCAAGTTCGTTGTTACCAGACCCTACTATAAAATTATGTACCATCATTAATAATATAAAGACAATAGCCTAGTGGGTCAGATTCATGATGGGATTGGAGGCAGAAAGACCTGGGTTCAAATCCAACCTCTGAGTAAGCCTTTGTGAGTTCCATTCTCACACTAAAGGTCTACCCTTGTTAACCTTCATCTTAGTCTTGGATTTATAAACACACAAGTACATGAAGCTGAGAGGGGAATAGCATAATGGCTAGGGTGCTGGGCTTGGAGTCAGAGAGTTATGAGTTCAAATTCCATCTCTGACACCTGTTAGCTGTGTGGTCCTGGGTAGGCCACTTCATTTCTATGTGCTTAGTGTCTCAGGATAAACTCCTGAGGATTTCTCTACCAGCTCATAGCAGCGTTGTTGACTAGCCACAGAGGAAGGATTGCTCCAGGTTAAAGAAATCACAGATCCTTCCTGAAGTTGGTATCACTTTTGCTATGGTAACACCAATAGAAATACCATGAATATGAGCGAGTCATAGCATATGGCTGAAAGAAGGCACTTTAGATCAACATTTCTTATCTATGCATCCCTCAGGGTAGCAAAGATAATGGTCAGGAGACAGTCAGCTCTGATGTAGTCCTTTGAGGCTTGCAAAGTGCTTTAAAGAGGCAGCTAGGCGGTTCAATTGATAGAGTGCTAGGCCTGGAGTCAGGAAGACCTGAGTTCAAATGTGACCTCAGACACTTACTATCTGTGTGACCCTGGAAAGTCACTTAACTTCTGTTTGCCTTAACCCACTGAAGAAAGAAATGGTCAACCACTCTAGGATCTTTGCTAAGAAAACCCCATGGACAGAATGACCAGGGGGGCAGGAAGAATTGGACATGACTGAACAATAACGAAAGTGCTTTAAAAAAAGCACCACTGGGGCAGCTAGGTGGAGCAGTGGATAGAGTACCGGCCCTGGAGTCAGGAGGACCCGTGTTCAAATACAGCTTCAGATACATAACACTTACTAGCTGTGTGTCTCTGGGCAAGTCAATCCCAATTACCTCGCAAAAAAATAAAATACATAGAACTACAAAGGAATATTGAAACACAGTTATCAAAATATTAAAATGAGACGTTCATGCGCTTGAGGTTAAGAATGCCTGGGCCTTTTTACATTCCATGAGTCCTATGCAGTCCAACCCTCGGGCTGTTCCTCTGTTTCCCCCCTTTCCAGCTACACGACCTGTCCACCTCTCTTTCTGATCCCAGAGCTCCTCAAGGATACCTATTCACAGCATTTCTGGTATGCAAGCCATTCTTAGTAATATGTTGCAGCCTGCAGCCTACAGCTGTGCACCTCTCAAACAATCGCTTTTCTAAATAGAATTGAAATCCCAAGCTGGCCGGCAGCCTGAACTGACTCTGATGGCCAACCCAAACCCTAACATGGGCTCAGATTTCTCCCGCTTTCCCTGCCCCTGTAAGAAATGCTGCAGAACACTGAAAACTGTATATGGGCCAATGCACCCTTTAGCTCCCTTCCATCCCTGCTCCTCTCAGGGCCCGGAAGGTTTCCAGAGCTTCTTTGTAAGGAGAGCCCCAGCTTAGTTATCTAGCCCTCTTTCTCCCATCACACTCCTCTTCCAGAAAGTTCCAGGCCTCAGCTCTTATGGGTATGGGCAGGGGTGGGGCTGAGGAATGCATTAGTACCAAAGGCATGCAAGATGGATGTCGCCTGTCACAGATGACCACAGCAAAAGAGGAGCAAGAAGGCTTGGAAGACATAAAAGAGGAGGTACCTGGCTAGCTGCCTCCATGGATTGATAGCCAGTAGAGTGGGGAGCAGAAGCCACCTCACTGCCTGGGAAATTCCTGCTGCTACAAAGTTTGCCAGGGAGAATAGAAGGAAGGGGGGATTAAATGAGATCCCTTTCCCCCCAAAGGACGCAGTGACAACTACCTGAGATCCAGTCTCGGAGCACTTATCGCCATCCCTTCCTTCCCGTGGTCTTGTTCTATCTCCGCTTTGCTCCAACCCAACTCAGGGGATGTACGATCAAAAGCCCACTGGCCTGAGAGCCAAAGCATCTGAGGATCAGACGCTTAGAATCGGAAGATGTAGAGCCCATCACATCCAACACCTTTACTTTTCTCATTTCAAAGAGGAAGCTGAGATCTAGAGGCTAAGTGACTTACTTCTGCACAGTCACGCAGGAAGTGCCCGAGGCAGGGTTACAAAGAGGCTTCAAGTCTGGCTCCCTAGCACGGAGGCTAAAGTTCCTCCTCCTCCTCCACTTAACGACCTTGGGCAAATCTCTTAACCTCTCTGGGTCTCAGTTCCCTATTGGAAAGTCAGAAGGGAGATTAGATGACCTCTAAATGACTTTCACCTCTAATTTGTAACACAGATCAAGGAGCAGATGCCAGTCTGTAACACACACAACTCTCCTTCCCAATCCTATGAATGCCTGTACTTGGCACAGTGATGTTTCAGGACCACTGACTACACCTTGAATATTCCGTGGAATGGAGGAACTAGCCAAGAGCATAGGACAACCCATCACCATTTCTACAAACGCAACTCAAGAGCACCAGCCCTGAAGTCAGGAGGACCTGAGTTCAAATCTGACCTCAGACATATAACACTCACTTAGCTGTGTGACTCTGGGCAAGTCACTTAACCCCAATTGCCTCACTAAAAAACAAAACAAAACAAAACAAACCACCAAAAAACAAAAAACCACAATTCAAAGCTGACTGTAATGCTTACCCAACAGATGGTGGTGGTTTGATAATGTCATCTTTGCAAATGAAGAATGGTATATTATTTCCTGTAGACTTCCTTCCCACAGCACAGAGAGAAAAAGAATCACCTTTACAGTTTCTAAAGGAACATGGGTAACCAAGGTATGCTGTCTGAACAACCCAGAGTCAGGTCAAGCTACCAAAACCGCTTGAACAAAGGCTGGCACGGTGAGCATCGTGGCAGTATAGTGGAAATAGCCTGGGCACTTCCGTCACTTACTACCTGTGTGATCTTGGCTTCTATCAGAGGCAAAAGGAAAAATAAAAGAGTGAGATAGTGGGGAGTGGGGGTGGGAAGTGAGATCCCTTTAGGTCTCTATATCCCCATCTGTAAAATAAGAGTGTTTGACTAGACTGCCTCTAAAGTCCCTTCTTGTTGTATGAATTGGGTTATCAGTATTCCTGATGCCTTGACTTTAAATGCACAAGAAGCCCTTGTACAGTTTGGGAGCCCCGAATCTGAAAAGGGTCCAGAACAGACTAAGGTGCCTTCTGCTAATTCTTCAAGGAAATTTTATATTGCTATCAGAGATTCCCCTAAAGATACACAAACCCCTGTATTTACACACAATATCCAACTTATAAGATTTCTTAATTGATTTACACCCATAAATGACACCAGACAGTGGCAAGCAAATGCACTGAATAGTGGCAAGTAAACAAAATTCAAGGCAAGAGTGGACTCTGTCAGCTACTGCTATTGCTTCTCTTCAGGAGAGAAGAGGGGAATATCACCCATAGACTCTTTGTAGGACCTTCCAACCCCTAAATCTATTTAATCTTCAGCTAATAAAGAGTAAAAGATGCAGCCTAGCTTGGTGTATAGAGGATAGGCTTTGGAGTCAGGAAGACCTGACTTCAAGTCTTGCTTCTGACACATACTGTGTGTCCAAGGATAAGGCACTCAACCACTCAGTGAGCCATGAAGCTCTATAAAACTATCAATTACCCACCCATTTACTCACTTGCATTGGTGGAAGGAATTTCTCTAAGGAGTTCCACACATTGGTGAAATAAAAAATCTGGATTAAACCTTTCTAAATAGATGGACAGGGAAGTTAAGTGATTTGTCCAAGGTAAACATAAGAGGAAAGATTTGAACCCAGGTTCTCTGATTCCAAAGCCAGGGCTATTTCCAAAATACCATATTCCCTCCTTTAGCCTTTTGTCTTCCAAAGTCAGTAGATTTTTATTTAAATTGGAAGAAACTTTCTTCCTCCAACCCCTCCCAGGTCCCCATACATCAGACCTAAGCCGCTCCTCCTGCAAATTAAACCCATTTCCTTTGGTTTCTCCTTCTGGGTGCCGGTGATTCGGCTATGCAACAGGAAAAGTGATTCAGGAGTTTGGGGCAGGGTGACCCCGGGGGCATCTCAATCTGGCTCAGGAAAAGCTAAGTTTCACAAGCTTCCTTCTTGCAGTGCCCTGACTTGTAAACATTTCCTACCCTCAGTGGTCCCCACTTTCACAGTCAGATCCAGCTTTCTGATCTCCGGATCTCCTCCAGCCATATGGGTCCAGCCATAAATAAGAGAGGTCTCCTTGCTATCTTAGACACTTATCTTCTCAGTAGGCTGCTCATTCTTCCTGTCTGCTCTCAACTACAGAAAAGAATTCTTAGAAACCTTTTGTGGGTCCCTCCTTCGGTGCCCCTCCCTCTGATATGAGAGAGAGAGAGAGAGAGAGAGAGAGAAAGGAGGTGTGTGGAAAGGAACAACATCTCTAGAAATAGCCAAGGAAGGCATGGGGATCTGCAGATCAATTGTGGTTACCGACATTTTTTCTTTCTCAGACAGAAGATAGCTTTCAGCTCCTGACTCAGGGTTTCTAATCTTACCATCCTTCACATGTACACCATTCACCCCTTCAGGGCTGGGCCTCTTTCTTTCTTCCTTTCATTTCCACTCTCCCCCACAACAGTACCCCCTTCCGCCCTTCCTAGTTGTCCCTTACCCTAGAAAACCAGGGCTGCAGTTCTCTGGAGTTGTGAAATTCCTGGCAAAATCACACAAGCAAGAAAACGTCAGTCATTTGCTTCTAACATACTTCCTGAGCTCAAGCTGGCTGAGTTGGACGTGTTAGCACATTTCAAAGCCTTGCAGACTATGAGA